TTTTCTAGTGCAAGTTGTACACCAGTGAATGAGCAATAGATTACTCATTTGATAAAGATACCGAAATACACTTTTATGGACTTTGGATTTTATTCAACCGTTAAAGTCAGACGGAAAACAGAGTAATGTATTCCTTTAGAAAACATGGAGTTTTCAGTTTTACCCAATACTCCCTACTGGGACTGCCCATTTTTAAAATGGCCTATTTTTATAAAACCCTCAAATATTCTACTAAGGGAAAACAAAATATGTCGTTTTCTTCTAGAGGTCTATAACCCGCAATCTTGGTGTTTGTTTTTCTGTTTTTGTCCAATTTCCAAATCCATACTCCTTGCTGTGACTGCCCGTGTTTTCCAATGGCCCATTTTTCCAGACCCAAAAGTATATTATAATGATAATAATAATAACAATAACAATAACAATAATAATAATAATAATAACAATAATAATAATAATAATAATAATAATACATTTTCTTTATCAAGTGCTCAAAGAACCTTTACAGAGGTAAGAGAAAATAAGACAATACAAGAAGTCTAATTAAAATCGAGCAATAAAACCACATTCGTCTCAAGGACATGTCATCATTTACACGTGAAAAGCTACTCTAACAAGGTGAGTTTTGGTCAGTGTTTTGAAGGTCGGAGGTCGGTAAAGTCTCTGATTTGTTGTGGGAGTGAGTTCCAGATTGGACTTTTAGAGTCAAATGGAAGAAAAATAAGCTTTTCTCTTACAAACGTAACATAACATTATAAATGAATCTTAATCTCGGGGTTTGTTTTTCATTTTTACTAAATGCTCTGCCCATGAATGAATGAAACTCCCTTTGGGGACTGTCCATTGTTCCGATGGCCCGTTATTGCAAAACCCCAATTCAACTTTTAAAGTCAAACGTAAAACAAGATATGTTTTTTCTTCCAGAGGTCTACCCTCACCCTACTGTAAATCTTGGTGTTTGTTTTTCTGTTTTACCAAAAGCTCAGTCCCATTTTCAGATCGATTCTCCGTACGGTGACTGCCCGTGTTTTTCGATGGCCCATTGATTGACATTTTAATTTATAAGGAATTATTGTTACCCCTGCTCCTGGTCAACATGGTACGATCCAATTGAGCACACCTGTTTTCACTGATTGAGCTCTATTCTGTTCATCTGTTTGAGACTCAGGAGCGGCTGTGAAGGACAGGTTACTCTTAATTTGGTTTTAAATATGATTAAAATTAAAACTGTGAATGTGTTTGAAAGTATTGTACTCGATTTATCCATGTGCCATACGCAATACATGATGATGTCTTCTGCTTTAGAAAAGTACTGGAGTCCATTTAAGTTAAATTGAACAAAATAAAGGCGTAAAAAGTAAAAATTGGGAGTTATTGGAGACAAAGGGATGAAAGAAAGAAGAGAAATGTTAGATATGGGGATAAAAGAGAAGAAAATCAGGTCTCTGGCACTTTGGAAACCATTTTGATAAATATGATTTAAATTAAAACTGCAAATGTGTTTGAAAGTACATTCAACCATGTGCCATATGCAAAGAGTGACGATGTCTTCTGCTTTAGAAATGTACTGGAGTCCATTTAAGTTGAATTGAGCAAAAGAAAGGACAGAAAATGAAGAGATGCGAGTGCAAAAGGTAAGTATTTGGATACAATTGGGAATTATTGGAGACATAGGGATGGAAGAAATATAAGAAATGTTAGATATGGGGATAAAGGAGAAGAAACATCTGGTTATTCTGGCACTTTGGAAACCATTTTGATGTAGCTGAGTAAGTGCCGTACGTAAATAGTGACAATAGAGTAGCTTTAGAAACGTACTGAGTCCAATTAAGTTAAAGGTCACCTATCATGCTATTATTAGGCAATAGCATAGGTCTCAGATATATACAAATATATAAAAAACATGTCTATGAAGTGTTTTGCTCCAAACTCCAAACAGATCACCCATTCTAGCCATGCCTCATATCCCTCTATTTCACTTCCTGTTTCTAAAGTGCTAATTTGGGTATAAAGCTTTAAAAAGGAGGGGTCTGAGCTCATGCGGGACCCGGCAGCTACCGTCTAAACTAAATGCTGCCGTGATGAAACGCCATATCATGGATTATCAAGGATTCTCTCTGAAACAGTATGGAGCTCAAAGGCTTTCTCTCTTGCCGGTTATACCACAAGGTGAGTTCCTTTTTACTTCCTGCTTCTTCACACACATGCTCTCCAGTACAGGTTAGCTCTGAGTGTTAGCGATGCTAATGTAAACACCGACCATATTACGTCCAAAACAGTCGGGCATTGTTTCTGATAGCAACGTTTCTGATAGGGCCGTGGGTCCACATTTCAGATATTACGTCATATCGGACGCAAATCTGGATCAGCTCCATTGTTCCCCCGTTTTTAGAGATTTGGGTACGGAGGAAAAGAGAGAGGGTTTTATTTTCTGACGCTGCGTGAGTTCCCCGACACACCGGGCAGGGCCGGCCCTTGGCATAGGCAGTATAGGCGACTGCTAAGGGCGCATCAATCAATGTGGGGGGCCGAAAATTGAAAGAAAAAAAAAAAAAAGTTAGAAATTAAAAATATATTCATTTTTTATTTCATGACAACATAATTTCCCGAATTTGGATCAACAAAGTACAGCTTATTATCTTATACTAACAGAGCAACGCCTATATTGCGTACAGTTTCCATAAACTATGGCGCACCCCCCCCCCATCAAGTTGACCCGCCCCAGCCCCAGTAAAAACCAGAGGTTTATGTGAAATAGTTCTTTTTTTGAAATAATGGTTTTAGTGTGCAATTATAGGTTTTAATTTTGTATTTGTGTTAATTTAAAATAAATCAAACTCCCAAAAAACGTATACAACTTTTATTAACAATTGGAATTTACTGTGTAAGCGGCCGCGGGGGGGAGAGCTTTAGAGAGCTCTCTCCTGAAAGACTGAGAGGCTCTGATAACCTCAGCTCAGTGAGGTAAAGGCACACCTTTATATGATCATTATAGTTATAAAAATCTAAAATCTTGCCTAGGGCAGCAAATTGGTCAGGGCCGGCCCTGACACCGGGGACACATATTTATGTATAAAAGACATCAGAAAGTGAATTTTGCATGATAGGTCCCCTTTAAATTGGGGAAAAAGAGAGGACAGGAAATAATGAGATGTGAGTAAGAGAGGAAGCATCTTGAAAACAAATTGGGAATATTTGAGTTAATGGGAATGGAAGAAAGGTAAGAATACTAGACAAAGGAGAAGAAGAGCGTGGGAATGGAAACACGGTTGAGGCGCACACGCGCACACACACACACGCGCGCACGCACACAAACACACACAGAGGTGACTGTGACGTCAGAGCAGAGCCAGCTGACCAGCCTCGCGCTCTCTGCACATCTCCACGCGGCTGCTGCACGCCCTTTAAACCAGAAGCAGAAGAAGGGGGAGAGAAGGAGGCGACGACGAAGAAAAGGGGGGGGAGGAAGACTCTCATCCTCGCGCGCATTATTGTCATTTGGACACTTTCCATGGACGCTGCTCCTCAGACAGGATTGTGTGTGTCTGTGTGCGAGAGAGAGTGTGTGTGTGTGTGTGTCTTGGCACTGCTCAACCCCCCCCCCTTCTCTTCGTCGCATCCAGGTGTTGCATTGAAGCGCACTCGACCGCACGAGCCCTCTCGAGCAACAACAAGTTGAAATTCTTCCCGGCTCCGCGCGCAAGAACCGGATCCTACTACCGGATTTTATTCCTTTTTTCAATTTATTTTCTTTTTTCGTGCTGGATTTGTATTTATCGTCACGGGAATTAACGTGATTTTTTCCCCGCAAATATGAGAATAATGTAAACAGTCTGGACGGGAACAACGGGATGTGTGTGTGTGTTTTAAAGCACATTGGGAAATAATGACAGAGTGAACGGACCCAAGACATTTTCGGGTTATCATTTAAAGATTATCTGCAGTTTGTGTTGAAGATTTACCGGATTTCTCTTATTTCTTTGTTGCTTATTTCCTCCAAAGCGACACCGTGACTGGACCCACCGGTGTTCAGAAACATATCTTCGGGTTAACGTGTGAAGCTTCTCTGCAGTGTCTGGAAACATTCACCGGATTTCTCCGTGAGCTTTATTTCAACACAGTGAATGGACCCAAGAAATGTTTGGGTGATCATGTAAAGATTCTCTGTGTGTGGAAGCTTTGCCGGGTTTGTCTACAAAACTAAACAAAGACATATTTTCGGGTTGAATCCACAGATTCCCCTGCAGTGTGTTTTTGTTTGTGTGTGGACGCCTGGTTGTCTCTCCGCGCGCCCTCATGGTGCGGCGCGAGGACACGGAGCATCCTGATCCTGATGCTGAGGATGGAGATGTTCGGTTAGATCCTGGAGATGCTTCATTTTGACGACAATAATAACACGTTTATAGCGCTTTTAAGTCGCTTTTACAAAACACACCACAAAGATGAGTGAACTGGAAACATTACAAAGAGAAATACAGAACCGAGAGCATTATGAACGATGGACGATGACCTCCAGCCCGAGAGAGAAGCGCGCGCCCCCGGTTCCATGCGCACGAGAGGACGTCGCCCACCGGAGATAACCACGAGGGAGGGATATTAAAGGTCCCCTATTATACTGTTTCTCATCAATATATTATAGGTCTCAGATATATCCAGAACCTGTCTCTGATTGGCTGAAACACCAAACACCAAACAGATCATTGCAGCATTACCCATAATCCCCTCTGTTTCAGCCCTGTTTCCAAAGTGCTGATTCTCTGTCTGTTACTTTAGATGAAAATAAGGAGCCCCTCCCCACGCCCCTCTGAGAGACATTTGGTTACAAAGAACTCGATGGTGCTCTAGGAGGAGATTCAGGTGATAAGGTGGGGGGGGTTACCTTGGTTGCTGATTGGCTAATGGTTACACAAGACAACACATCGTTATGACATCATAAAGTGTCCAAAATCTGATCAGCTCATTTTCGAACAGGTTTTTATAGAAATGAATCAGGACAAAAAGAGAGAGAATCTTTGTTCCTGAAACTTTCAGAGTCTCTTTCCACAGAGTTCTTTCCACATGTTGATGGAGAAGAGACATGAAGAAGTGGATTTTGCATAGTACGTGATTGAAGGATTTAGAGATGGAGCTGTCGGAGGTGCGGTGCTCCAGCGCCAGCGAGGATCTGTACACCATCAACCCCAGCAGACCCAAGCGGCTGCTGTGGCAGAACGCCGTGCGGCACATCACGGAGCAGAGGTTCATTCACGAGCAGGGCGGGGAGGTGGAGGTGAAGCACGAGCCCTACGACCCGCAGGAGAAGGCCCGCACCTCGGTGGGTGGGCACAACAACGGGGGCACCAAAGTGTTCCCGGCGCGCGCCAGCAGCGACCTGGGCTTCCTGCAGGTGAGCTGACACTCTTAGTATTTATAGACTCACCCTTCTAACAGTTGAGGTGTAACCTGATAACAGTGCTGTATTTATAGGCTTCTCCTCTTCAAATATTCAAAGTTTGTATTGTCATAGCTACAGTGTGTGATTTCTAAAGACTCAAAAACGCTTTGACAGAGAATAACACAAAAACGAAGAAAATACAAAAATAGTGCAAAAAGTCTGTCTAGTCTAAGTCTGGAACCCCTCCTAACAACAGAGGTGCAACCTGCACATGTATTTCTTTATATATGTTAGAGCTGCTCGATTATGGCAACAATCGTAATCTCGATTATTTTGGTCAATAATTGATATCACGATCATAAAAAACGATTATCCATTTACTTTGAACATCCATTTATTGAAGGAAAAAAAAATGTTTTTAACAGTTGATTACCCTGAACTTTAAGTATAATTCAACTGAAAAACCAATAAAAAAAATACAAAAATAATCGTTTTATTTCGATGATGTTGTTTTCATAATCGTTGCAAGCCATAATCGTAATTGCGATTAAAATACGATTAATTGAGCAGCTCTAATAAATGATCGTCACATTTGACAATAATTAGCATCCTTTAAAGGAGCTTTTTGGGGGCTAAAGCTATCGGCTCTTGATCAGCGTTGAATAGCTGTTTCCCTACAAAAGAAGACGTACTATTTAACAATAATATCTTAGTATGCAAACTTCATTGTTCAATGCCGAGCTCAGTCCACCAACAGTACATTACATTAAAGTAGTTTTTGGCTTCTTGTTGGTTTTGATTGAATCGATCAGGTCAATGTGATCCAGAGTCCCAGAGATAACACACCACGATGAGCATCAGGGGTTTTGAAGCCATGTCAAACCTCTTAATGTTTTTGTGAAGCACTTTGAGTGTTCTTGTGTTGAGCCATGCTCTGACTGGTTCCCCCCCTCCTTTCAGATCGACTGCGCTCCCAGTAACTCAGACTTCTTCCTGAACTGGGGCTACACGTATCGGGGGGTCATCTTCCCCACGCTGCGCAACGCCTTCAAATCCCGAGACCTCGAGCGTCTCTACCAGCGCTACTTCCTCGGGCAACGACGTAAATCTGTGGTGGTGATGAACATCCTGGACATAGTGACGAAGATCACTCTGCTGGTCCTCCACCTCACGCTCGCCTCCTCCCCCATGGACCCCATTAAAGGCACCCTTCTGGGGCTTTTCACGGGTATTGAGGCGGTGATTTGCGCGCTCGTGGTGGTGCGTAAAGACTCCACGTCGCACGCGTACCTGCAGTGGAGCGGCGCCCTCAGCTGGATGGTGATGGTACTGCAGATGCTGGCGGCGGGGCTGGGTTTCGGGCTCCTGGGGGACGGCGTGGGGTACGTCCTCTTCACGCTGTTCGCCACCTACAGCATGCTGCCGCTGCCCCTCACCTGGGCCATCACCGCCGGGCTCACGACCTCCGCCCTGCACATCCTGGTGCAGACGCTCACCTCCCACAATGCACCGCTCTCCTCCAACCAGGTAAGGGTGCACCTTTGTTCAATCTTCAAATCCTGCTCGTCTACTTTGTTGAACTTCTTCTCTGTTCTTCTTACTCATCTCTACTCCTCCTTCGTCTCCTCTTGGTCTCCTATTCCTTCTCCTTCTTCCTCCATCTTTTTACCACCTCCTCAAATCCTTCTTTGTTCACCTTCATCTCTCACTAATCCTTCCTTATCTCCTTCTCCCTCTCCCCTACTTTATCTCATACTCCTCCTTCCTCTCCTCCTTCCTCTCCTACTTCCTCTCCTCTTTCCTCTCCTCCTTCTCTTGTTTTCCTTTCTTCTCCTCCTCTTCTTACTCCCTCCTCTCCTACCACTTCCTCTAATCCTCCTCTCCTCCTTTATTGACCTCCTTCTCATCTCCTTCGTCCTCCATCTTCTCCCTGTGCCTCCCTATAATCCTCTCCTCGCCTCCTCATTTCATCCTCTCTCTTCTTCCTCCTTCCTCCCTCTTTGCTGACCTATAATCTTCATTCCTCTTCAGTTCACAGCTCCTTCCTCTCCTCTCCTTCCTCTCCTTCCTCTCTTTCCCTTCTTCTCTTTCCTTCTGAGTCCTTCCTTTCAGAGGAGTCCACATTAGGTCTTCAGAGTGCTGTCGATGCTTTACGAGTGTTTGCTGAAGCTTTCTTCTGTTTCTTTCTTTTTCATATTTGCATTTGATTCTTGTGATATGAACTCGAGCTGGTCATGAGTGGAGGTGCAGCAGCTTCCTGTCAGTCTCTCGTGTTTCTGTGAACAGCTGGAGTTAGTCGCTGCACGGACTTTCTCTCCGTGTGGTTTCCTGATCTGTAAGGCGTTGGACATTAATTTAGGCTCCAGTTGCATTCATGAAATACGGCTGTTTGTTTCTGTGTGAGCTCAGCCTGGTTTCAGCACCAGGAGCTGTCCAACACACACACACACACACACACACACACACACACACACACACACACACACACACACACACACACACACACACACACACACACACACCCTGCAGCAGCTCAGAATAGGTTCGACCCCCCCTACTGGTGACTATTATAATCAGGAATCATCTTTCCAAAACTGGCGTCCCCTTTTAGTTTTGTGTGTTTAATTTTGGTAAAAAATAGACAAAGCAGTACGACTATGAAGTCAGAGCGAGGATCATCGGATGGAGAGTTCATCAAGGAGCACAGATAATTCATCTTTAAACAGTAACTCTCTCAAATAGAAGAAGAATAATGAAAACAATCCGCTTTGGTTTCCTTCATTTTTCTATTGTTTCCTGGATTCTTTGTTGACAAGGCGCTTGATTGGTTGAATAATACAGGTTGTGTAATACATTTAAAGCCTACATTACGTTGCTATAAACCATGCTGCTGCTTGATGTACGGAGGCAGAACAAATGCTTTCAAAACGTTAGATCAATAGGGCTCATTTTATAGTTTTCATTATCGGTTAATCTGCTGATTATGTTGTAGATTCATCTATTAACAGTTTGGTCTTTAAGTGACCTTTTCTCAGTGCCTTAAAGGTCCAAGGTTACGTCCTTTCTTGGAAGTCCAACACCCAGACATATGGACATGATACCAAACAAGGGAAAGCTTACAGGGAATCTCCATGTTCTGCATGAAGTCTCACTCAATACAATCTATTATCAAGATACTTTGCACAGAGGATTCTTTAAATAAGCTCTGATCGTTTCCCCTCAACACTAAAGGTGTTTATATAATATATAGATGTCTATATAATTACAGTATAAAGACACAAATAATCTAGCAAAGTCTTTAAATGTCTTGTGTTGGAAATCCGAAATGCTCCGAAAAATGATGATGATACACAGCAGGGAAAAGCAGGCAGTATGAAACCAGCCTATTCTGACATCTTGGATGGAAATGAGCTCCTAAACAATGACTCGTTATCAAATCAGTTTGCATGGGGATTATTTTATTAATCAGAATAAGCTCTGATCATTTCCTGCAACATTCCTAACCCAGGATTCTGAGAGAGTATCCTCACTGTGTGTGTGTGTGTGTGTGTGTGTGTGTGTGTGTGTGTGTGTGTGTGTGTGTGTGTGTGTGTATGTGTGTGTGTATGTGTGTGTATTTGTGTGTGTGTCTCTCTGTGGGTTTGTGTGTGTGTGTGTGTGTGTGTGTGTGTGTGTGTGTGTGTGTGTCTCTCTGTCTGTCCGTTTGTAGGTTTGTGTGTGTGTGTGTGTGTGTGTGTGTGTGTGTGTGTGTGTGTGTGTGTGTGTGTGTGTGTGTGTGTGTGTGTGTGTGTGTGTGTGTGTGTGTGTGTGTTCACGGCCCCGGGGATACACCGCTGTCCACTCTGAGTTTGACTCACTCCTTATTCTCAGCTGCTTGTTGATGCATGCAGGAAACAGAAACACTGCAGCTCACAGTTCAGTTCAATTTGTTCACAGTTAAAAACACACGTAGGACCACGAGTCATAATAATATGTACATTTTATTTATAGGAATATTGTGTCCAAAGCCCTTCAATAGTGTTTTAGATTTCGTATCTTCACGGTCTATTGTATATTTTTAATGCTGTTTTAACCCTCCTGTTGTCTTCGGGTCAAATCTGACCGATTTACTACTTTCATCAATCATAACTTTTTTGTTTTACATTCGATTGCATTAAGGCTTCATGATATCCTTCACAGTAGACATTTGAACTTATTAAATTGCTGATCACCACTTTCATTGAACTTTGGATGATTTCGTCAACTTTGTAACACCCATGGTGTTCCCGGTCAAAAATGACTGCCATAAAGAAAAGGAATTAGTAACCATCCGGATCAGAT